TTCTGCAATTAAATCCGCCAGTATCTGCCCTTTGATTGCTGGCCTTGGCGCGTATTGGATATTGTATTCCGAGAGCTCCACCGCCCATTTGGTCGGTCTTCCTGACACTTCCCTCGAGCTCAATATCTTGCGCAGTGGTAGGTTGGTTAGGACTGTCATCATGTGGGTCTGGAAGTAGGGACGCAACTTTTGAGAGGCTGAAACGAGCGCAAGTGTCGCCTTTTAGACCGGGGAATACCGCGTACTTGCTGATCAGGCTTGCTGGGATCGAGAGGTACCCCAAAATCGGAGTCGGCGGGGGCCGCTCGCGGTTCTTCTTCCACGCACGTGTCCACGATGTTGGTTCTATTGTGCATTTTGCGCCATTGCACATCCTCTTTGTTCGTTTCCTTTTCCCTGTGCTCTCCCACTGTGTATACGACGCCCTTCGCGGTTGGATACTTCATGAGCTGATGGCATGTTGACGGAAGAGCGCGGAACTTGGCGAGGAAAGGGCGCCCGAGGATGGCGTTATGAGGGGACTGTCATTCTACAATGGTGAACTCAATGTCCTCTGTTTCTCTTGGTGCTTAGTCACCCACGACTACTGGCAGGATTATAGATTCGATGACGGGAACTCGCGATCCCAAGAATCCGACGAGGCTTCCTTCCGTTTGGCGGACCATCCGAGGGTCTATCTTCATTTGGTAGAGAGTGCTCTTGAAAAGTATGTCTGTCGCGCTACCGCTGTCCACGAGCAACTGATGAACCTTCCATCTGGGTATTCGTCGCGGCCGAATGTAATGAGCGCGACTTTTTTGGTACGGCCTCCACTAGATTGACCGCCCTCTGCCTTTTGGTTTTTCTCGCGGGCTGGGCGCCCTCTACCGTGACTACTCCGATCTCTTTTCGCACCAGGAGTTCGTCCATTTTTTCGTCGTAACCCGCCGGCGGCGGTTGGGGAGCTTTTGGATCTGACACTCTGCGCTCTTCTTGGACGTACTCGGACAGATGACCCCGGCGGATTAGAGTTTTGATCTCCCATCGGAGCATGTAGTAGTGCTCTGTTATTTGTCCCGTCTCCCAGTGAAACTCACAGGTCGCGCCTGTTTTCAGGCTGCCATTGAGGCCCGGGCCAGTTAATTCGATAGCCCCTCTCCCGGATTACGTGGAAGATATTCCGCATTGAGTCTTTGAGGGGTGTGTAGTTGCGATCGTTTCTGTTCTTCTCAGGCGATCTTCTTCTGAATTGTTCCGTGGGAGGGGGGTGGCCCTGGGCCTTGTAAGTATTCAGCGGCAGTGGGGGCTGTCGGCGCGGTGGTTCCTCTCTGTAGTTCTTCGGATCAAATCGCCTCACGGAACCTGCTCCCAAGGTTTCTTCGAGGGTGATCGCCTTCTCCACCTTGGCCTCGAGTTCTGAGGATGAGGTGACAGGTCGTTTGGCCAGCGACCGTCTTAGTTCGTGGTTGATTGTGGAGTCCATGAGATGTCGCGCCGCGTTCACCGGGGTAAGATCCCGGAACGCCATGGCCACCATGGACCATCGGGAATAGAATGCCCTAAGGCTCTCCGCCTGTTTCTGTTTTACATCTACTAGCGCTACCGTAAGCAACGGCCTTCGCTTCTGCGATGCGAACTTGGTGGTGAATAGAAGAATGAATTCCTCGAACGTCCGGATGATCCCGTTCGGGAGGCGGTTGTACCAATCGAGACATATCCCCGCGAAAGTAGAAGGAAAGGTTCTGCACAACGCGGCGTTGGAGCATGTTTGGAGCTGCATGCGCAAGCAGAAAGCACTCACGTGGTCTTCCGGGTCGGTCGTTCCGGTGTAGGTGGGGAGGGTAGGGGGGATTTCCGGGCATCTGTTCCGCCTGATCTCGGGGCATAACGGTTGGTGCAACGTGATTCGTCGAGGAGCGCGGTATGCTGGGGACAGATGTTGTTCCAAGAAGTCGAGGTCGGGGCGTGGCGCTCGTTCATCGTGCAAGTTATCTTCCGGGGCGAGTTGTGGACGGAGTGGCACTTTGGGCGGAAGAGCGAGAGGGGCATGAGCGGGAACATTGGCCTGTGCAGCCATCAGAGCCATCATCTAGCTCATCTGGGCTTGCATGTTGGTGATCACCTTGTTTTGTTGTTCCATCTGTTGGCGGATCTCTTTGGGAGATATACCCTCCTCCTCCTCCTTTATCAGGACGGCTTACAAAACCAGGACGCCTTTGGCTAGTGGTGGCCTTGAGCGGGGTGGTGTCGACTTCTGCATCTGGGCCTGTATGAAACCATTTAGAATGCACATAGATTAATAAAAATTACAAATACGATGTCTTAACCGAGAATAGGAATAAACAACGCTCTCTCTCTTCCAGCCCCACATACCCTAACCGTCACCGTTTTTCCCATTTCGATCAAATCTCTCTCTCCCCTCCCTCTTCCAACAAACGTAGTTCATGCAGAGCAGAAAGGAGCGGTGCTGCAGTAGTGGTATCTCCTCCATCTCCCGACTCAGCGATGAGCAGAAACCAGCGGTGTTGTGGTAGTATCTCCTCCGTCAATCCGTCTAGCGACTCAACGGCAACAACGATTGATGCAAAAGTCAGAACACAACGCGGCGACAGGCGGGCACGACGATTGAATGTTTGAGGTCAGTATGAGTGTTGATCTAAGCATGCATGTCGTTTTTCTGTTTGATTTCCACCTTCGAGTTTCAATAGCATCATCGCTCTTTTCGATTCAGGAGAAGAAAGCTTTAATTTTCAATATTGATTTTGATGCATTTGGGGTTTTATGTTTGAATTTGGGTTTCTGATCTTAGGGAGGAGAAGAGATCGGAGAGAGGGGAAATGGCATCGACCCGTAGAGGAGTAGTTTGCGGCAAGGCCAAGAGATGATAGTAGAGGATTCGGTGGACGGCGATGATGCTTGATGGTCATTGACGGCGGTGATGCTTGGGTTTTTTGTCTTCTTTGTTAGGTTTTGGTTAGCAATAGGTATTAAAGAGTTGTGGGCTTGAGGGAATTTTCTTTGGGCTCTATTTGATTTGGGTTGTGAGTTGTGAGATATTTATTTTTGGATTCGGTGAGAATTGGGCTGTGAGAGGTTGAGTAGTTAGTTGGGTTGTAGGATTGGGTTAAAATTTTTGTTCGATTGATCGGTTCGGTTTATCGGAATTCGATTTCAGTTTGTATACCCCTGGTTCCCGAAATAAAGAGTTTTGGCTTCCGAATTCCGAACCGAACAACACTATTTCGGTTTCGGTCCGGGTTTACCGAACCGGTTGCCCACCCCTAGTGGCAACAGTTTTGACCTGTAAAGATTTTATGATGATAGTGTTTTTTATAGTTATGTTAGTAGTTTTTGTGGTTGGTAGAATTTTTCGTAATTTGTGGTAGTGATTCTAGTTAAAAATTGTCAATTGCTACAAATACAAAATTGTCAAGACATTAATAATTACATGAGAATCATTACGTACACTCTAAAAAAGTACTACAGTCAACCTCCAAAATTGTCCGTCACTGGCAACTAAAAATCATAAAATCACTACTATCAGCCAAACGACTAAGTAGTAGCGAATTTTGCAGTGTTTTTTCTCATATAAAATGGCTAAGAGTGAGAATATATTTTATATTTTAGTAGATTTATTATTTTCAATTGTCAAACTGACGTCCACCGCCCCGAACCAAACCAGACTCTGATACCACTTGTCAAACCGGGGTGCTCAATTAGTACGATATTGTCCGCTTTGGGCCAAGCCCGCACGGTTTTACTTTTGAGTGTCCTCACCAAAAGGCCTCGTATTAATTGGGCTAGGTGGACTCTAATATACAAGGGTTCCTTCCCTTGTATTACCGATGTGGTACTTGGATTGTATCATAACAATCCTCCCCTCAAGACAAGGACGACGAACTTCGTGTCCTCTCCTCAGCGATTATCTTGATCCGCCAGATGCCTCGTATCGATGGGCTTCTCGGTACAAGGACTTTCCTAGACGCGGAACTCTCTTTGATCCGCCAAACAAACGTGGATCTCTCCTAGATCCGCCAAACAGTCGTGGATCACAAATCCCGAGGCCACCAAACGAGGGTCCCACCAAACTGACGTCCACCGCCCCGAACTGAACCAGGCTCTGATACCACTTGTCAAACCGGGGTGCTCAATTAGTACGATATGCCGACTTTGTCCAAGCCCGCACGGTTTTACTTTTGGGTGTCCTCACCAAAAGGCCTCGTACTAATGAGGCTAGGTGGACTCTAATATACAATGGTTCCTTCCCTTGTATTACCGATGTGATACTTGGATTGTATCATAACATCAATTTTGTGAAATTCAAATATGTCCTTCATTACCATCCACGATCAGATTGAACATAAAAAAAGGAAGCTGATTAGAGTAGTTAGCACGGTGCTAAATTTTATGAAGTTAACACTCTAACAAGAAGGAAGTGAACTATAAAGTAGCAAAATTTGATTTGATAATAATATTACCGACTTGTCACGCAGCTTCATAATTGGGACCCGGCCTGATTTACAGTAGCAAACAATGCTATCGTACTTGGCTTCGTTTATAGAGGTACACAGTACAGTCACAACCAACACCAGCCTAAGAACATGACGAAGTTAGCTTGATTTGTCTTTTTTTTCTGTCATAGATTTGTCATTTTGTTTTTCCAAGGATAGGACCGTTTATATGAAACAAATTGTCTTATTGTGATTGACAAACTGTTACATTACTTCTCCCACTTTATCAGATTTTTTTTTTAGTTTTAACTTTCGAGAAATCGAGATCTACGATGATAATTGAAAAGCTTTTCACAATGTCGAAAATTCAAACTTTTCATGAATGCATATAGTCAAATCGATTAGTGTGTCGTATTTAAAAAACTTCATCTTATGGGCATTTCGCCGTTCATCTGGCTAATAACATACAAACATATTCTCACGAGCCTGCCTCGTGATTAGTTTCATATATAGACTCTCTTTTGGTAACTACATGAAATGACTCGTAGCACCCAACCAATATTGAAGATCTCATAATGAACACCGGTTGGGAACAAGAAGCAGAGGTTGTTCCTTTTGCAACGTGAACCCAAACTTCTCATTCATACCCAATTCTGCTGGATCTTTTCCATCGGGGAGGCACCAATCGAAGTTCCGAACGATAGCAGCCAATATCAATGAAATCTGTCTGGTGGCCAACGGCACTCCGGGACACATCCTCCTCCCAGCACCAAATGACAGAAACTCGAAATCATGCCCTCTAAAATCCACCTTCGACCCAATAAACCTCTCCGGCTTGAACGACGTTGGATCGTCCTCCAACACTGTCGGATCCCTTGAAATCGCCCACACGTTGACCAAAATCTTAGCTCCTTCAGGGACCGTGAAATTCATCACCTCGCAAGTCTCCGATGCGCGGTGCGGCAGCATGAGCGGCCCCGGCGGGGTGTAGCCTCAATGTCTCCTTCACGATTGCATTCAAGTACGGAAGTCGAGAAACTACAGATTCATCGAGCGGCAGTTTTCTCTCGAGCGGCGACGACAATTCTGCGTTGAGCTCCTCCCGCAGCTTGTTCATCGCTCCCTTGTTTCGAATCAACTCTGTCATGGCCCATTCTATTGCAGTCGTGTTAGTGTTTGTACCGGCCATGAACAGTTCCTGCAAGAAAACCAATGGGAAAAGCTAAACTCAAGCTTGTAAGAGAGTGGTATAAGATCTAGAATAACCTTCTCCCAACAACTCGAGTTATTGAGACTAAGTGCTTCTGGACATGGTATCAGAGTTAGTTTGACCAAAATGTCATTTGTTCAAATCTGCACGACTCCCAATATTAAGCGTAGGTTGATTTTCGGGTAGAGAGTTGTTGGGACTAACTAGTTCTTGTCGCTAAGCACAAAATTGGATTGAAATTTTTTTCTTTCTTTTTCCTTGTGAACTTACGAGACTCAACCAGTCAATCTGATCATCATCGAGTCCATTTTCCAGGAAAATATCCAAGAAGTCTTGAGCACCATATCGCTCTCCCTGCCGACGCTCTCGCCTCTCTTTGACGTAGGGCTGCCAAACGGAGTAGAGCTCATTGCAACAACGAAACGTCTCACGTCTCAGCCCCTGGGGATCCCATTTCTTCAGAATTGGAAAGAATTCGGCGAGATTAGGAGAAGTCCCCAATTCCATCATCCTCCAAATCAGTGACTTCAATCGATTGGCTGTCTCGCTACTCTCGAACCCTATGCAATCTCGCGACAACATGAGATTCGACAGCGAGTCAAATATAGCAGCGAAAACCACTTGGCCGATACTAACCGACTCCCCCAACTTCCCCTCGAGAAATCTCACGCAGCTTTCCTCTCCCTGGCGGCGGCCTGAGATTCGATGGCCTTGGTCGAGAAGATCTGGTTCCTGAACATTGCTCGGAAGGCCTTCCACTGGTCGTTGCTGCAGTTGGAAGCCCAAACAATGGCCTTGCGGTCGAGCTCCATCATGTCGTATGGCAGGCCTGTGGAGACGTATCTAGAGGAGAGCAGGCGGTCGTGGGTTCTCAAGATTTCGGCGGCTGCCACGGGGGAAGAGGCGACGACGAGGAGCTGGGAGCCGAGGCGGAGGGAGATGAGAGAGCCGTACAGCTGGGAGAAGTGTTGGAGGGAGATGTGAGCTTGCTTGCCGAGGTGAGGGAGGTTTCCGATGATGGGCCATGGCTTAGGGCCTGGAGGCAGCGGCGGTGAGCGGTGTTTGGAAGCTGCAGAGGTGGTGAGAAATCGTGAAACGGTGAATGCGACCAGGATGGTGATGGAGATTGGGAGGAGGAGAATATATATAAGTGCCATTTTGTCAGGAGATGTGATTTGGAGAATTCGATATGGCTTAAGATATCTGCTGGGGATTCATTTATAGAGCCACCGGTACACTGACATCTAATAAATTAAAGATGCATGGCTTGAACAAGTCCCGGGTGGGCGAAGAGAAGATGCATGCATGGCTTTTTTTATGTAGGCTACTTTTCACCTGTCTCCTTCATACTAAACATCATATTCTCGTACGGGTCTATAACTGGGTATAATAATTAATTGTCACCCAAATTTGAATTAGCCTATGCAAAATATATAATGATTAATTGTCACCCAAAGTGGAATTAGTAGTCTACGCCAAACTACGCATGGCATGGGTATAATAATTAATTTCGGTTTTGGTACTTCGGGTTTCAAGGATTTGGAGGCTGAATTTTGACATACAAATACTAAATCAACTAGACAAACAATGTTCTCTTTCTAATACAAAATGCACAATTCATTATAATTTAATCCAAAAGTTTCTAAAACTCAACGCCTTCATTTTCAAATCCAACAAGCAAACGAGCCCTTAAACAGACTTCAAATAAGGTCATGCAAATCAAGACATGTGTTGTAGCTAGAGGAGACTGTTTTGGCTCTGTCTTGACGAATTTTGGCTCAACAATGAAAATTAATGGGTATTTGACTTGATGTCGACCCGGTTAAAGTGAGTTCGACCCGGCGTTGGCGAGTTCTTGCTTACACGCTTTAATCAATAGATATTCGACTTAATTCGATCCAGGTAGAGCGAGTTGAACTTGGTGATAACGAAATTTGGGTCGAAATCAATGGATATTTAACTTAATGTCGACTCGGTGAGAGCGAGTTTGTCCCAATGTTGGCGAGTTTTTGCTTACACGCTTAAATAAATGGATACTTGACTTAATTCGATCCGGTTAGAGCGAGTTGAACTTGGTGTTAACAAATTTTAGGTCAAGGACGAGTTTTACATGCTTTTCTAATTGGAGGGTTTGGTCAGTGTGATCTTATTTACAACTCGCACTAGTTTCCTTTGTTGTCGTTTTAAACTTTGTTTTGTTTTCATTATTAAGAGAGTTGAACCCGGTGTTGACTAATTTTTGATCGACAACGAGTTTTACATACTCAAATTAATGGGTATTTGATCTAATTCGACCCGGTTAAAGCAAATTGAACTCGATGTTCACGAATTTTGGGTTCGGTGTAGATTTATTTCCTTTTGTGACAATTGAATCTATTTTGGGTCGGGAATGAATTTTAATTACCAGCTTTTGTGATTAATGGATTGGGTCGGGTGTGGATTTTGTTAAAAATTTGACCCGCTTTATCAAGCCGGTCAAATCGAGTAGAATCCAATGTTGCCGAATTTTAGTTCCTTTTGGATGGTGGACTAGTTTTACTCACTTTTGTAGTTGTCGGGTTGGGTCAGCCTGATTCGCCCAGGTCAAAGAGAGTTAAACGCGTTGTTGACGAATTTCGGGTCGGGAATGAATTTTAGCCGCTTTTGTAATTGACAGATTGGGTCGGGTATAGATTTTGTTAACAACTCACTCCGGTTTACAAGCCAGTCAAAGCGAGTTGAAACTATTCTTTACAAATTTTGAGGTCGGGTGTGGATTTTGTTAAAAACTATTAGCCTCGCTCTATCAAGACGATCAAAGCGAGTTGGATCCGGTGTTGATGAATTTTGGGTCGTTTGGGCTCGTGTACGAGTTTTACCACTTTTTTAATTTTCGGGATGGGTCAGGTACATACTTATTTTCTTTTGTCGCACTTGAACCCAAATCCATGTGTATTCGGCTTAATTCGACCAGGTCAAGGTAGGGGTGGCCATTCGGTCGGTTTGGTTTCGATCAAACCGAAATTATGCATAGCGAGTACCTGAATTCCATAAATCTCAAACCGAATTTGAAACGAATTATAATTTGGTTCGGTCGGTCTAAACCGAATTATAATTCGGTTTTGTTCGGAATTGCACACAAAACCAAATTTGTGAAGCTACTTGTATCTTCTCCCTTTTAAATTATTTTCACTACTAATGTAAACAATAAATATGCATTTATATGCATAATCAATGATAAAATCAAGCATTCAACACATAAGTTATAAAACACTAACATGATTTAAGTCTCAAAACAACTACAAACATAAAAATTAACCATTTGGAGCTTGTAATTATAGTAATTCGGTTTACTATTATTTCGGTTCGGTTCGAGTTTATCAAACAGTTGGCCCGGTCAAGGCGCATTTAATGCTCGCAAGTCATTGGTGAAAAATTCTGGACCCTTATCAGCTTGAATCCGCTTCAACTGTTTATCATACTGAGTTCGCACATCTCACAAAACATGAAAATATATATGGCAACCTATGACTTAAACTTTATCAAGTAAATCCACACACTGCGACTGAAATCAACTATCGTTAAGAAATAATGTGCTCCGCTGGAGAAGCCATATGATACCCACTAACTCGCTCCTACCGTCACTCTAGAACATGGCCAAGTGTAACCACCTCCTAAAGCGTAGTATAGCGGGTTTGGGTTTTAATGTCAACCCGGGTCCTAGATGTGCTGACTACTCAGTGAGTTCTTATTATCTAGCGGTGAAACTTTAGTGCTGGTCCAAACAAGCAAACAAGCAAAGCAAGTAGAAAGGATTCTTTTCAAGTCGAGAGAGGTCAGCCGGATATGGTTCCCCCTAGACTGCAGTTAAGTTGGATTGTAATTTACCAAGTTCAATTTCAATGATAGTTATACTGCGGGAGGTTCTTAAACAGTCTGAAGTCTCGACTAAAGGTCTCCAGACTCTCTCAATCTGAGTCCCCAGCGGGCGACTAACCTCCACCGGAGTAAACAGATTGAGGCCCTAACAAACCAAACCTCCACTACCGAAGCAAATTTGGTACAAAATAGCGAATTGACTCCTCGACTAAAGTCGTTAATTCACCACCTTCAATCAAGGATGCTCTATCAACATAGGCAGATATTCTCATTCTAGGTCAAAGCAGAAATAACAGGAATTTGATCAGGATTCATGCCATTCAACAAATCAAACCTAAATTGAACATAATCAAATCATAGAATCTGTACTTGGGTTCATACAATCAGACCTAACATACAAATCTAGGGTTCTTCATACCTAGGTGAATAAGAAAGTTACTCCATAGAGAGAGATGGGAAATCTAGCTCAGATGCGGAAACCATACTATGAAGGATGATGATCTGCTTCTGGCACTCAATCGGATCTTCTCCAAGCTCAAGCCGGGCTCCAATGGTGATGGAGATCAATCTAGGACACTTGCAGAATAAGGTTCGTCACTTTCTCTCTCTAGGTCGCACTTTTACTCTCTAAAACTCGGAACCCCTCTCCTTTGGCTGGAAATTGGGTTAAAAGCAGAAATCCCCGATTACACGGCCAGGCCACACGGCCGTGTGATTTTTCCAGCTTCCCGTGTGAGTGTTCAAACGCGGCGTTTCGATTAGTGGGCTTCCAGGCTTGCTGCACGGCCGTGTGGATTCCCAGGCTGCCCGTGTGGGATTTTCCGAGCCTTCACACAGCCACAGCGGGTCTTCTACACGGCCAGTGTGGCTTGTCCGTGTAAAATGGTGCCACACGCCCAGGTCACACGGCCGTGTGAGGTGCAAAAGTGCCCATGTGGCTTCCTCAGATTCTCGCCAAACGTCCAATCTTCGTCCAATCGACCCCGAACTCGTTCCCAAGCCTTCATTCACGTGCTAGGACCTGAAATATCACAAACAAGAACAACCTAGCGTGAAATCGGCCTAAAACGCGAGAATCGACATCTCAAACGGCTCAAGAATAGGGGTAAAAACATGTGTAATCAATGGTCTATCAAATTCCCCCTCACTTAACCGTTTGCTTGTCCCCAAGCAAACCTAACTCAAACCAATGCAGCTCTCCAGACCTCTATAGCAACAAACAACCCCGAAAGTCGGTAGTGGATTTTCTAGATCATAAAGCAGCTTACGAGGTCAACTGGTCTTCTAAGACGTCCCCTATCTCTCTCAATGCGAGTACTAGACTCAAGCCAGAATCATGAAAAGAAGTAGAAGTAAGACAGTCAGTTCATGGATAAAGGGACTCACAACATTCACAACCAAGGGCTCATTGCACCGGGGTGCTCTTTCACTTCATTTCACCGTTGGAACCCCTTTTTCTCACTTTCGTTTACATTTTTTCTTTTTTTTCCCCTTTCATTTGGAGGGGTTCCAACTGCAGTCATTTGAACGGTCGACCCCTATTAGTCGAGCAAGAGCAATTTCTGTACATCTGGCGCTCGCCAGAGTACTTCTTTTAACTCCTTTTCTTCAACTCGTGTGGAGGGTCAATGAAATTAAGGGGGTCGGAAGCTCTATCCGTGCCCTTAAAAACACATCCTCGAGTAGGCAAACCGTTCAACGGGTGGAAGTTTTACTTGTACTAGAGACAGCTTAGCTTCACCTTGTAGGAGTACCCCACTAAGGATCACTAAAATCTCTTCCAAAACCCGATTTTGTGCAATGAACGGTGCCACACACGTTGGGCTTACCCCATGTTTAAGATTTTAATGATTTCGACATGGAGGACCAACTGCTTTTCATTTCCCACATGAGCACCCTGTTCAATACACGAGTCCACAACATAATTCAAACAGAGTCCACATTACCACATGAATTCAACGGTCTTAACTCCACTAATTCACAAAATCAACCGGAACAGCAGAGAGCTAGATAGGAAAAATCTTATACTTCAACATCCTCCATAGTGCTACACTACCTCCCTAGGTTGCACATTACTATAGAGACTGTCAATTCAAAGCATACTGGGCAGGCAATTTGCATGGAAACACGTACTTGGAGCCCTCAAATTTAAAAATTTAGACAGTGGACTAGGCTCCAAGCACACAAACAGATCTAATTTAGTCAAAAGAGAAACATCCCCCACACTTAAGTTCGACATTGCCCTCAATGGAGAAGAGGGAAGGATAAGGGGAACGATGTTACCGGTGTGCACAGACTG